CCTTACACCTGCTGTCTCTGTTCACTTAGCAGTCAGTAGGTATCTGGGTGTTACCTTACACCTGCTGTCCCTGTCCACCTAGCAGTAAGTAGGTATGTGTGTGTTAGTGGACTGGTGTGGGTCGCATCCTGGGGACAAAATAAACCCAAGTTGCAACAAATGCTCTACATAACCAGGAACTTTCTATATAGTATTTCATAGGTGTGAGCTATGGTCTGTATAAGTTGTATCATGTACTGGTAGAAATAAAGATTATTACTATTATTGCCATGCGTGTCGTAAGAGGAGACTAAAATGCCGGGAGCAAGGGGCTAGTAACTCCTTCTCCAGTACAAATTACTAATTTTTAAGAGAAGCCTTTATTTACATTTTAGGTCACCCATCCTCGGTGGGATGCGGTCGGTTTGTTACAAAAAATTATTATTAGGGAGATAAAAATCCGTGGATGCTCAGGGAATTTCAGATTGTATTACCAGTCAGAAGGAATATAAAATAAGTGAATGTATTTATACTGGGATACGTCAGGAGATGTTACAAGGAGGAGGTGAATCACAGATCATCCTGAAGTGTGTTGTGGATTATAAGTACGTACTTAAATAAGTCAGTAAATGCAATGGAAATTATGTAAATGAATGGTTCAAAGAACCGACATGTTAAATTAATTTAACAATGGAAATTATGTAGGGAAGTGGAGGTAGATTGAGACACTTGTGTTGCAAACTATACCACGGGTGGGGTTTGAACCCGCGGTCAGAGTCTCAAAACTCTCTGACCGCGGGTTCTAATCCCACCCGTGGTATGGTTTGTTTGCTATCGTGTCATTACGATTTCGTGATACTTGTGTAACGTTTGGTTCGTTTGTTGTGAAAGCGTTTTGCCAACAGGTGACATCATCAGTCAGGTACAGAGATGACTGGTGTAAAATGACTAACACCCAGGTACCTACTTACTACTAGATGAACAGGGGCAGCAGGTGTAACAAAACATGCCCAACATTTCCACCCATGCCGGGGATTGAGCCACGGTTTATGCCATTGAGCCACGTACACTCGGTATGTGAGGTGAGTGCGTTTTTAACCAAGCCAGGGGACACACAAAATTAAGGGTTAGAATTATGTGTAGGGAACGTCCAGGTATGGGAAAGACGGATGTGTTGTTCAGAAAGTCTAAAGCCACTGAGAAGTTCTGTAATTCTTCGTCTTTGTCTACAGAGGAAGCGCCACTCTCTCTAATTTGCATCTTCTCTTTTTTCTTAATGAGACTATTGTTCCTTCACCTTTGGTCTATTCGTCTAGTACTTTATGAGAACTCTGCTATGCAGGTCCACGATCTTGTCCAATGCCTCATCTTTGAAATTCTGTTGTTCCTTACCACTCCTTAGGCCTCCGAGGCAATCTACCATCCTTCCTTAAGAACTTTTTAACTGACAGACATTTCCGTGTTTGAGTCAATAATGTTCTTTCCCCGGACTTCGTCCAAGCTGAAGGTGTCCCTCAGGGATCTGTTCTAAGCACAACACTTTTTCTCCTTGCTATAAATGATTTGGCCTCTGTTCTTCCACCCAATATTTGGTCATCACTCTATGTTGATGACTTCGCTATTGCTTGTGCAGGCGCCGACTGTCATCTCCTTACAGTTTCTCTCCAACATGCGGTCGACCGTATTTCCAATTGGGCCACCACTCATGGGTTTAAATTTTCAAGTACCAAAACTCACCAAATTACTTTCACTAGACGCTCTGTCATCTCCGATCATCCTTTGTATCTATGGCTCCCGTATCCCCGAATGTGATACAGTCAGGTTTCTAGGCCTTATCTTTGACCGTAGGTTATCCTGGAAACCTCACATTACCTCTCTGAAGGCAACTTGTCACAGCCGGCTGAACCTTCTTAAAACCCTTGCTCATCTTTCCTGGGGAGCTGATCGTCGAACTCTGCTTCGCCTACATTCAGCCCTCGTTTTATCGAAACTCGATTATGGTGACCAGATTTATTCCGCGGCCTCTCCTGCTACTCTCTCTTGCCTTAACTCTATCCATCACCAAGGATTACGTTTGTGCCTTGGTGCTTTCCGCTCTTCCCCTGTTGAGAGCCTCTATGCAGAAGCGAATGTTCCATCCTTGTCTGATCGCCGTGATGCCCATTGCCTTCGCTACTATGTACGCTCTCACGATCTCCACAATCCTTCCATTTATAGAATGGTCACCGATATTAGTAGACATTATTCGTTCGCCGCCCCTGTTTGCTCCGTCTCTTTTCTCTTCGCCTACATTCACTCTTGTCTTCCCTTCAGTTACCACCTTTATATGTTTATGTAGCATCTCACTTTTCCCTACCCCCCTGGGAAGTTCCAGCTGTTCGTGTCTGTTCTTTCTCACTCCCTTGCTTGAAAGCTCAACTGCCTACGGTGGCTTCCCGCTCTCTTTTTCTTGATCACTTCCACTCCCATTCTCATGCCATCGCTGTGTACACAGATGGCTCTAAGTCTTCAGACGGCGTCGGATTCGCAGCAGTGTTTCCGGACAGCGTCGTGCGGGGGCATTTACTATCTTCGGCTAGCATTTTTACTGCTGAATTGTATGCCATTCTTGCAGCACCTATTCGTATCGCATCTATGCCTGTGTCATCATTTGTGGTAGTCTCAGACTCCCTTAGTGCTCTACGGGCTATACGAAAATTTGATACATCTCACCCCTAGTTCTCCGTATCCAACTTTGGCTATGCCGTATCTCTACAAAGCATAAAGATATTATTTTTTGTTGGGTCCCTGGTCATGTCGACGTACAGGGCAATGAACAGGCACAGTGCTGCGCGGTCAGCAGTACATGACCTACCAATTTCCTATAGAGGTGTTCCATTTCTGGACTATTTTGCTACAATAGCTGCCCACCTTCGCGCCCGTTGGCAACAACGTTGGTCAACTCTGCTCGGTAACAAACTTCATTCTATTAAACCGAGCATAGGTTACTGGCCGTCTTCTTGTCATCAGTGCCGTGGTTGGGAGACCACTCTCTCCCGTCTTCGCATTGGCCACACTCGTCTTACTCATGGATATCTCATGGAGAGGCACCCTGTTCCTCTCTGTGAGCAGTGTCAAGTTCCAGTATCGATTAGCAACATTCTGTTAGACTGCCCTCTCTATCAACGAGCACGCAGAATTTACCTCCAACGCCGTCTTCGTTCTACTACTCTCTCTTTACCTTCCCTTCTTGCTGATGGACTCTCCTTTAATACTGACTCATTGACTTCTTGACAACGACTGATTTACTCCACAAACTCTGATGATGATACCTTACGCACTCCCCTCAGCCCTTTCTAGCTCAATCTCTTGCTGCCCTTTACCCTTTCACCGTCCACTGCTATGCTGTTATCCGTAACCTATTACTCATCCACCTCCCTTTTGCCACCTGGTATCCTCGCTTCCTTCCTGCCCTGCAGCGCTGTATAGCCCTTGTGGCTTAGCGTTTTTTTTTATTATAATAATAATAATGTTGTTCCCTAACCTTTGCTTTGGATCGACACTCCTGCATCATCGTGAGAAGCTGCTGTTACACTACTGGGCAAATCAACAGCCTCACTTGAAAACTCTGGTTTTCCATACCACGAGGACAGAGCTACTATCTCGGCAACACATTGAGGAACTTGCCTAGTTCTTTCTACTGTTGCCGATTTCCAGTTTACTACTACCGGCAGCTGATTCAGTTAAGCTGTTAGCTGCACACCTTCATAAGCATTGTAGCAGTCCTGGTGCTGGACTTCACAATAGTCACGACCACCTGTGAACTTCTGCTGTCTCCAGTGTCTCATTACACTCCAGTGATTCCTGTGAGTGTTGCCATAACATCGGCACTCAGGATGTTCGTCTTACATATTTATTTAATTCTTCATTTGCTCTGGTTAGGACTATTTCGTGTTTATTTTATATTTTAAGATATTTGTGTTCAATAAAAAGTTTTCTAATTTATGTTTCTGTTTTCTTTTCGAAATGAGGAAGGGCTGCTTCGAAGGTTCTTTGAGAGCTTGAAGGGACCTTACACCTTTACATAAGTCCCATCTCGTCTAAGTAGGGGTCCAATACTAGATGTGTTTTTTTGCCCTAGATTTGGCATAAGAATCGCTGTATAGCCCTTGTGGCTTAGCGCTTCTTTTTGATTATAATAATAATTGGCATAAGAATGTTTTTTTTCACTTTCATTTATAACTTTAAGTTCTTCCTGTGTGATTCCTTTAAGCTTAAGCTCAATATTTTCTATTTTTTCTGGCCAGTGCCTCCTTCCGTATTTAAGATACACTGGGCCCTTTCAGCAGTTCTGTGATTATTCGTCTTCACCTGTAGAGGGAGTCTCTCTCGCTTTCTAGTTTACATCTTCTCTTTTTTTTTTTCTTAAGGGAATGTGCCTTGAGTATACTTAAAGGGCTACAGAGTTAATTCTAGACAAAGGGTCAGATCTATGTTTAGGATAGCTTCCCAGATTGTTTTATTGAGGACTTAGTTAATTTGATCTCACTTCGTGTTATTATTAAAGTTGAATTTGGTGAAGGCCCCCTCATACCTGATCACCTTATATCTGTACTAATGTGTTATGATCTGAATGAATTGTCTTTGATACTGTTATATTTCGTATCAGATCACCATTATTAGTGAAGATAGTGTATTTTCCAGTCTTGTTGGCTCCCCTATTTGCTGGTTTAAGGTGAATTTGTTAGATTTAATAGCTCGTGTGCCTGAATTTCATCTGAGTTGTTTCCTGGGGTTATCTTTCCCAAAATATTATTTGCTACATTCTTCCGTTTTAGGTGTCTTAAGCTGAAACCATCCAGCAGTAAGATGTTTGGGGCAGGAGTTGGGAGATTTTTACATACAGCAGTTGATTTTCAAAAGCTGTTCCTTAAATTGCTGGGAAGTTGCATCTGGAGGCTTGTATACAACCACAATAACAAGGTTCTGGTTTTCAGTCTTTTCTGCCAAAACTTCAACTACATCATTTGTGGTTAGTAATTCCGAGCAAATGAGCGACTCCGTGACATACAGGCCACCATTCCCCCTCCCTCTTGTTGCCCGTTTATTCTGTCGCATCTGAGGTACTTCGTGAGGGTCTCTGTGAAAGCCACAAACATTGCATTTGATTCTGCAAGCAGTCCACTGATATAAGGTATTTTGTTGATGGATTCAAATCTTGTATGTTTGCAGAGATAAATGTTGTACTGATGGTATGTAGGAGGGATTTGTTTGCTGGCACTAATATATGTTGTTCTGGAGTGAGGACCATATTTTTTCTATCGCATCCGAGTACATTATATCCAGGGATCTATATTTCATAACCAAAAAAAAATCATTAACATGCGTCTCTGTTAGAGCCACAAACAATGGATTTGATTAAGTGAAGAGTCCACTAATAAACACCATTTTCTTGCTTTTAGTTCCAAGACTGTGTGTTCTGCAGATGTAAATGTTATTTGTTATAAGCTGACATGCAGCTGGATTGCTAGCACACTCAGCTCACACATTGAGGTCCGGGGATCTAATCCCCGGTACGGCTGGAAAACATTAGGACGTGTTGCCATAAGACACCTGCTGTCCCTGGTCACTTATCAGTAAAATGGGTACCTGGGTGTTAGTGGATTGGTGTGGGTCGAATCCTGGGACAAAACTGACCTAATTTGCGGGAAATGCTCAGCATAACAAGGGACTTTATATATAGTAGTATGTCACTGATGTCAGCTATGGTCTGTATACCTTGTACATGTACTTGTATACCTTGTACATGTATACCTTGTACATGTACTTGTATACCTTGTACATGTATACCTTGTACATGTACTTGTATACCTTGTACATGTACTTGTAGAAATAGATATATGATGTGCTGGGAGAGTTTGTCTCAATGTCTGTGGCTCTGAGCCAGCCATTGGTTCCAAGATGGTGGTATATTCTTTGGTCAGTAGTTGATGACCAGACTATGCTGACCTGATATTGCCGACGCTGACCTCGTGTGCTTGCTGGTGACACCCAGTCTCAGGAGCTTGAGTCTCTTCCTGACAGGCGACGTTGACAGCGTGTACAACACTGGGTTGATAGCCGCGTTCAGAGGCAACACAAACACAGCGATCCAGGAAAACACCTGTCGTGGGAACACAAGAACGAAATTACAAAAAAGGCACAATACCGTGACTGGAAAAATACACAACCCGCACATAGGAGAGAAGCTTATGACGACGTTTCGGTCCCACTTGGACCATTTATAAGTCACAGTGGTGACTTGTAAATGTCCATAAATTTCTCTCTCCTATGTGGCGGGTTATCTGCGTATAATTGTATGTCTCGGCAGTTATTTAAGACGATCCCTAAAAAAGACAGCAAAATATTGGTTAAATTTGTTTTCTGGGAGAATTTCTGAATTTAAAAATTTTGTTGAAGCCTCTGCTTATGTAAATTCCTTTTTATTTGAAGCAAAAAATTTTGATCTGAGTTACGCTAATTGTGGTTTTATAAGGGAAGGAGAATTAGAGGAAAAGCATTAGCGGTGAGTAGCAAGATGTGTTGCGAACTGAGAGACTTATACAACATATGGGAATCTCTATTGAGGAAACGTTTCGCCACACAGTGACTTCATCAGTCCAATACAAAACAGAAGGGTGTCAGGAGAGGTGGTGCTTGAGGTAATCAGTCCCCCATTTACCACAAGATGAATTGTGATATCTTAATAACGCTTTGTATAGCTGTGTGTGTGTGTGTGTGTGTGTGTGTGTGTGTGTGTGTGAGAGAGAGAGAGAGAGATTAGATTGCACCTTCGAAGCATCTAGTTCATTATATATCTCATATCTATCCTGTGGATGGTATCACAAGTATATATGAATACACGAAAGGCCTAGGAACTAGGCCTCAAAAGGGTTTACAGAAGTTTATTTGGATTCATATGTACAGTTTATATGTTGCTGAGAAATGGGAAATTTGAGAGAGAGAGAGAAAGCTGATGTAGGTCACTGCTCTGAACTTGTAAACAAAGTTAGGAACCTTAACCTAACCTTGTAAAACTGTGTGAAACGAGAGAGAGAGAGAGAGAGAGAGAGAATCATTACGTGGAAAGAGACACTGATGTACAGTTCAGGACATTAAAGGAAACGTTTCGCCACAAGTGGCTTCTTCAGTCCTAATACGTCTTGTCGGTATCACCATACCATTTCCTCAGAATCATTACCCTGGGAGGGACAGTAACACCAGAGAGAGAAGCGATGCCCAGGAAGATGATGGGGAGCCAGCAAGCAGCATCCGTGGCAACAATCAGTGTCATTCTCTTGGCCATTCCTCCGTCCCCTCCACCAGGTTCCGTGCCCTTCCGTGCCGCCGTGTGCGTGTCCGTAGCTTCCATGTACATCAGTACGTAACTCACAGCAATCACTCCAAACGATACCAAATTTAATACTGCAAAACAAGAGAAAATCTTCAGTCATAATTAAAAAAAAAGTAACGAATTATATTTTGAAAACTGCTAAATTATAAATAACCCGCCCATAAAACTGGTGTAGCTTATTTAATTATAAAAAAATAGTGTAAATATAAAGGGACATAATTCACGAAATTATAATGATACGATTGTAAACAAATCGTAATACGATTGTAAACACATCGTAATGATACGATCGTAAACAAATCGTAATACGATCGTAAACAAATCGTAATGATACGATCGTAAACAAACCGTAATGATTCGATTGTAAACAAATCGTAATGATACGATCGTAAACAAACCGTAATGATTCGATTGTAAACAAATCGTAATGATACAATTGTAAACAAATCGTAATGATACGATCGTAAACAAATCGTAATGATACGATCGTAAACAAATCGTAATGATACGATCGTAAACAAACCGTAATGATTCGATTGTAAACAAATCGTAATGATACAATTGTAACAAATCGTAATGATACGATCGTAAACAAATCGTAATGATACGATCGTAAACAAATCGTAATGATACGATCGTAAACAAACCGTAATGATTCGATTGTAAACAAATCGTAATGATACAATTGTAAACAAATCGTAATGATACGATCGTAAACAAATCGTAATGATACGATCGTAAACAAATCGTAATGATACGATCGTAAACAAATCGTAATGATACGATCGTAAACAAACCGTAATGATTCGATTGTAAACAAATCGTAATGATACGATTGTAAACAAACCGTAATGATACGATTGTAAACAAATCGTAATGATACGATTGTAAACAAACCGTAATGATACGATCGTAAACAAATCGTAATGATACGATTGTAAACAAACCGTAATGATACGATTGTAAACAAATCGTAATGATACGATTGTAAACAAATCGTAATTATTAAAAATGGTTTTGAAAAAGCGGGAAGTTAAAAAATGAGATACGTGTGCAACATTTTGAAATCTTCACTGAGGAAACGTTTCGCCCGCCAGTGGTTTTTACTGAGGAAACGTTTCGCCCGCAAGTGGCTTTTACTGAGGAAACGTTTCGCCCGCCAGTGGTTTTTACTGAAGAAACGTTTCGCCCGCCAGTGGCTTTTACTGAGGAAACGTTTCGCCCGCCAATTACTTTTACTGAGGAAACGTTTCGCCCGCCAGTGGTTTTTACCATGGAAACGTTTCGCCCGCCAGTGACTTTTACTGAGGTAACGTTTCGCCCACCAGTGGTTTTTACTGAAGAAACGTTTCGCCCGCCAGTGACTTTTACTGAGGAAACGTTTCGCTCACCAGCGGCTTTTACTGAGGAAACTTTTCGCCCGCCAGTGGCTTTTACTGAAGAAACGTTTCGCCCGCCAGTGACTTTTACTGAGGAAACGTTTCGCCCGCCAGTGACTTTTACTGAGGAAACGTTTCGCCCGCCACTGACTTTTACTGAGGAAACGTTTCGCCCACCAGTGGCTTTTACTGAGGAAACGTTTCGCCTGCCAGTGACTTTTACTGGAGAAGCGTTTCGCCCGCCAGTGGCTTTTTCTGAGGAAACGTTTCGCCCGCCAGTGGCTTCATCAGTCCAATACAAGTGTCTCATTCTTCAAATCGTGAGTAGACACATGTCTCAGAGTAAATATTACACATGGAGATGAAAGATGAGAATTTTTCAGTATTGACCTCTAATGGAGGTCGTCTTCAGCAGATAAAGGTCGAGATAGACAACTATTCTGATAATTATAACTGATGCAATAATTCGTTAATTTATTTACATAATTGAGGGATAAAATGGATCAGTACGCAGGGAGAAACACTCGGGTACCTACTTACTGCTAGGTGAACAGTGAGAGGTGTAAGGTGATTAACAACCAGGTACGTAATTACTGCTGGGTGAACAGTGAGAGGTGTAAGGTGACTAACACCCAGGTACCTATTTACTGCCAGGTGAACAGTGACAGCAGGTGTAGGGTGACTAACAACCAGGTACCTACTTGTTAGGTAAGACACATATGCAACAGTTAGGTATCTTTATTTCGAAACGTTTCGCCTACACAGTAGGCTTCTTCAGTCGAGTACAGAAAGGTTGATAGAAGCAGAAGATACTTGAAGACGATGTAATCAGTCCATCACCCTTAAAGTTTTGAGGTGGTCAGTCCCTCAGTCTGGAGAAGAGCATTGTTCCGTTGTCTGAAACAATATGAAGTTGAAGTGACAGAATGGGGCCTTTATATAGTGCCAGGAGGTGAGACGTAGGTTGCTTTGGGAGGGCAGGTCCTTCTCAAACCCAGCCGTTCTCACTAGTAGAGGTTGTCGAAGTGGTCTGTACCAAGATACCCTTGTGTTGCAGTGTCTGACAGAATGAACATTAAAATGGTATGAAATACCGACAGATTGTTAGGTAAGACACACATGCAACAGTTAGGTATCTTTATTTCGAAACGTTTCGCCTACACAGTAGGCTTCTTCAGTCGAGTACAGAAAGGTTGATAGAAGCAGAAGATACTTTAAGGGTGATGGACTGATTACATCGTCTTCAAGTATCTTCTGCTTCTATCAACCTTTCTGTACTCGACTGAAGAAGCCTACTGTGTAGGCGAAACGTTTCGAAATAAAGATACCTAACTGTTGCATATGTGTCTTACCTAACAATCTGTCGGTATTTCATACCATTTTAATGTTCAGGTACCTACTTACTGCTAGGTTAACAGTGAGAGATTAAGGTGACTAACACCCAGGTACCTATTTACTGTTAGATGAACAGTGACAGCAGGTGTCTTAAGGAAACACACCCAGTGTTTGCACTCCTATCGGGGATCGAACCACTAACCTCAATGTGTGAACTGAGTATGCTACCAACCCAGCTACCTAACTAAACTTAAACTACCTTCACCTAACCTAACTTAAAATAGCCTAACTTAACCTAACGTAACATAACATAACCTGACCTAATTTATCCTAACCTAACTAAACGTAACTTAACCTAACTAACGTAAATGGATAAATCTAATCGTCAAAACTGGTGGACTGAGCACATCGGTTCCAGGCTGGGGACTGATTACCTCACACTCTTCCTCGTCTTTCACCTTTGTCTGCACTGGACTGATGAAGCCACTAGCTGGCGAAACGTTTCCAGAATAAATATACCCGAATGATGCACACGTGTCTCATTTATCAACTTACCGGTTTTATCAACGATATTTACATAAAATGGGTCACACTGTGAAAAGAATAATGTAGTTCCAAGCGCTTTCGTGGTTTTTTACATTATCAAGGCCCCTCAAGGAAGGTTCCTTGATGTTGGTGAGGGGCTCTTGATTTAGAGAATTGGATCTGTGCTCCAGTTCCCCGAATTAAGCCTGAATGCCTTCCACATCCCCCCCCCCCCAGGCGCTGTATAATCCTCCGGGTTTAGCGCTTCCCCCTTGATTATAATAATAATAATAATACATTATCAAGGAAGAGTTAATAAATAGCTTTATATACTGAATATCAAATGGTATACAATACCGACAGGTTGGTAGATAAGACGCATAGGCAACTGAGTTAGATCTTCTGTTTCTCGTAGTTAAGGCGCACTTGTTGCACTTGTTAGTTGCACTTGTCCTTTTAATTTACAACATTTAGGTATCTTTATTCCGAAACGTTTCGCCTACACAGTAGGCTTCTGTTAGTTCCAGATTTTGGAACAGAACTTCTCCAGGCTGAGGGACTGACAACCTCAAATCTACGACTTCAAGGGTGATGGACTGATTACATCGTCTTCACATCTCCACTGCTCCTGCCTACTTTCTGTACTTGACTGAAGAAGCCTACTGTGTAGGCGAAACGTTTCGGAATAATTTTGCCTAAATGTTGCCTATGTGTCTTATCTACCAGCCTGTCGGTATTGTATACCATTTGATATTCTCTGTGTCAGACATTGCAACACAATGGCATCTTGGTACAGAAGAGAAAACACCTAGGTCAACCTTTTTCAAGTGAGAATGGTTTGATAAGATTTAAGATAAGATAAGATTTCGTTCGGATTTTTAACCCCGGAGGGTTAGCCACCCAGGATAACCCAAGAAAGTCAGTGCGTCATCGAGGACTGTCTAACTTATTTCCATTGTGGTCCTTAATCTTGTCCCCCAGGATGCCACCCACACCAGTCGACTAACACCCAGGTACCTATTTGCTGCTAGGTGAACAGGACAATAGGTGTAAGGAAACGTGTCGAAATGTTTCCACCCGCCGGGAATCGAACCCGGACCCTCCGTGTGTGAAGCGGGAGCTTTAGCCACCAGGCCACTGGGCCATGACCTCTCGCACCTACTCCAAGGTTGAGGGACTCATTACCTCATCTTCTGTATATAGTCCTACTGTCTTCAAGTTATGTCCTGGAATTTGTATTGATAAAGCCACTGGAGGGCGAAACGTCTACAATAATGATACCCAGATGTTACACCTGTGTCTTAATTTCATCTTGTCGGTATTATAGACCATACTTGCACAACATATAGAGAAAGTTGCTTGATATTACCTGGAGTTTACCTGGAGAGAGTTCCGAGGGTCAATGCCCCGCCGCCTGGTGGATCAGAGCCTGATCAACCAGGCTGTTACTACTGGCTGCACGCAAACCCACGTACGAGCCTCAGCCCGGCTGATCAGGAACTGACTTTAGGTGCTTGTCCAGTGCCAGCTTGAAGACTGCCAGGGGTCTGTTGGTAATCCCCCTTATGTGTGCTGGGAGGCAGTTGAACAGTCTCGGGCCCCTGACACTTATTGTATGGTCTCTTAACGTGCTAGTGACACCACTGCTTTTCATTGGGGGGATGTTGCATCGTCTGCCAAGTCTTTTGCTTTCGTAGTGAGTGATTTTCGTGTGCAAGTTCGGTACTAGTCCCTCCTCACCTTCAAGGACCATAACATTGTATCAATCGCATCTGCTAGGAAAATGACAGGATGGATAATGAGAACCTTCAAAACTAGGGAGGCCAAGCCCATGATGACACTCTTCAGGTCACTTGTTCTATCTAGGCTGGAATATTGCTGCACTCTAACAGCACCTTTCAAGGCAGGTGAAATTGCCGACCTAGAAAATGTACAGAGAACTTTCACGGCGCGCATAACGGAGATAAAACACCTCAATTACTGGGAGCGCTTGAGGTTTCTAAACCTGTATTCCCTGGAACGCAGGAGGGAGAGATACATGATTATATACACCTGGAAAATCCTAGAGGGACTAGTACCGAACTTGCACACGAAAATCACTCACTACGAAAGCAAAAGACTTGGCAGACGATGCACCATCCCCCCAATGAAAAGCAGGGGTGTCACTAGCACGTTAAGAGACCATACAATAAGTGTCAGGGGCCCGAGACTGTTCAACTGCCTCCCAGCACACATAAGGGGGATTACCAACAGACCCCTGGCAGTCTTCAAGCTGGCACTGGACAAGCACCTAAAGTCAGTTCCTGATCAGCCGGGCTGTGGCTCGTACGTTGGTTTGCGTGCAGCCAGCAGCAACAGCCTGGTTGATCAGGCGCTGATCCACCAGGAGGCCTGGTCACAGACCGGGCCGCGGGGGCATTGACCCCCGAAACTCTCTCCAGGTAAACTCCAGGTCTAGGATTTTCCAGGTGTATATAATATGTATCTCTCCCGCTTGCGTTCCAGGGAATACAGGTTCAGGAACTTCAAGCGCTCCCAGTAATTGAGGTGTTTTATCTCCGTTATGCGCGCCGTGAAAGTTCTCTGTACATTTTCTAGGTCGGCAATTTCACCTGCCTTGAAAGGTGCTGTTAGAGTGCAGCAATATTCCAGCCTAGATAGAACAAGTGACCTGAAGAGTGTCATCATGGGCTTGGCCTCCCTAGTTTTGAAGGTTCTCATTATCCATCCTGTCATTTTTCTAACAGATGCGATTGATACAATGTTATGGTCCTTGAAGGTGAGATCCTCCGACATGATCACTCCCAGGCCTTTGACGTTGGTGTTTCGCTCTATTTTGTGGCCAGAATTTGTTTTGTACTCTGATGAAGATTTAATTTCCTCGTGTTTACCATATCTGAGTAATTGAAATTTCTCATCTTTGAACTTCATAATGTTTTCTGCAGCCCACTGAAAGATTTGGTTGATGTCCGTCTGGAGCCTTGCAGTGTCTGCAATGGAAGACACTGTCATGCAGATTCGGGTGTCATCTGCAAAGGAAGACACGGTGCTGTGGCTGACATCCTTGTCTGTCTGATATGAGGATGAGGAACAAGATGGGAGCGAGTTCTGTGCCTTGTGTAGTAAATTATGCCAGTTTTGTCCCAGGATGCCACCCACACCAGTCCACTAACACCCAGGATGCCACCCACACCAGTCCACTAACACCCAGGATGCCACTCTCACCAGTCCACTAACAACAAGGATGTCACCCACACCAGTCCACTAACACCCAGGATGCCACCCACACCAGTCCACTATCACCCAGGATGCCACCCACACCAGTCCACTATCACCCAGGATGCCACCCACACCAGTCCACTAACACCCAGGATGCCACCCACACCAGTCCACTAACACCCAGGATGCCACCCTCACCAGTCCACTAACACCCAGGATGCCACCCACACCAGTCCACTAACACCCAGGATGCCACCCACACCAGTCCACTAACACCCAGGATGCCACCCACACCAGTCCACTAACACCCAGGATGCCACCCACACCAGTCCACTAACACCCAGGATGCCATCCACACTAGTCCACTATCACCCAGGATGCCACCCACACCAGTCCACTATCACCCAGGATGCCACCCACACCAGTCCACTAACACCCAGGATGCCACCCACACCAGTCCACTAACACCCAGGATGCCATCCACACCAGTCCACTAACACCCAGGATGCCATCCACACCAGTCCACTAACACCCAGGATGCCACCCACACCAGTCCACTAACACCCAGAATGCCACCCACACCAGTCCACTAACACCCAGGATGCCACCCACACCACTCCACTAACACCCAGGATGCCACCCACACCAGTCCACTAACACCCAGGATCCCATCCACACCAGTCCACTAACACCCAGGATGCCATCCACACCAATCCACTAACACCCAGGATGCCATCCACACCAGTCCACTAACACCCAGGATGCCATCCACACCAGTCCACCAACACCCAGGATGCCATCCACACCAGTCCACTTTCACCCAGGTACCCATTTTTACTGATTGGTAAACAGACAACGGGTATAAGGAAACACGCCCAATGTTTCTACCCTCGCCCGGAATCAATCCCTGATACTCAGCGTGTGTTCTGCATAAGATGGGTCGTAACTCACCGAGGAAGATAAAGACAGCATACTCCCATCCACTTGGCTTCTCATTGGTGATGTGTAGCGCCAGACAGACGCCTGAACGACCGTAGAAGTTACTGAAGTATTGTAGGTTGGTGAGAGGAAGAGCAGCCAGGAGGATCACCAGCATCCACACTCCAGCCATCACCACCTTCGTCACGTTCTCTTCTGCTCGACGCACTCCGAACGGGAACTTGATGACGATCAATCGATCAACTGTGATCACTGAGGAAAGTGCATAACTCTTACAAATCACATTAATTACGTGGTCTTGTGTTTTCTTATGCTCTTTTGAGTCAATAGGGTAAATAAGGGCTGGGTTTGATTAGTTGAAGGGCTGGGTTTAATTAGTCAAAGGGCTGGGTTTAATTAGTCAAAGGGCTGGGATTGGTTAGTTGAAAAGCTGGGTTAGACGAGGTAATCAGTCTCTCAGCCCAGTAGTTAATGAGGAGAGCCTTAGTCTTCACCACCTCCAAGGCTGAGGGATTGATTACCTCTACTATCTTCCAATTATATCCTTGAATTTGTACAGATAAAGCCACTGGATGGCGAATCGTCTACATTAAAGATACCCAGATGTTGTACACGTGTTTAATTTTCTTAAATATACTACTTGAAGAGACATTAGCATGGGCCAGTGCTCTTGAAGATGTAATCTGAAGCAAACCATACCACGGATGGGGATAGAACCCCCGTCCGTGGTATGGTTTGTTTGCAATCGTGTCATTACGATTTCGTGAGTCATGTAATCAGTGAAATGTTAAATCCTGTAAATTAAGTGATCCTCACTAAATTTCCCGCCTCATAAGACCCGACTTTGGAACTGTCAACTCGAAACACCGGTGGCCTGGTGGCTAAAGCTCCCGCTTCACACACGGAGGGCCCGGGTTCGATTCCCGGCGGGTGGAAACATTTCGACACGTTTCCTTACACCTGTTGTCCTGTTCACCTAGCAGCAAATAGGTACCTGGGTGTTAGTCGACTGGTGTGGGTGGCATCCTGGGGGACAAGATTAAGGACCACAATGGAAATAAGTTAGTCCTCGATGACGCACTGACTTTCTTGGGTTATCCTGGGTGGCTAACCCTCCAGGGTTAAAAATCCGAACGAAATCTTATCTTATCTTATCTTACAAATAACCCGAACATAGAGAAAACCTTACGGCAACGTTACGGTCAGACTTGTACCATTAGTAAAGTAATTCTGTAAATGGTCAAAGTCTGACCGTAACGTCTATGTGCGGGTAATTTGTGTGTTATTCCAGCCTTTTCGTTCGTCTTTAAGACTGTAAACTCACCCAACCTGACCAAAAATTTATCGTTCGATACCATAGAGCTAAACTCTTCTCCACCCCTCAAGGAAGGTTCCTTGATGTTGGTGAGGGGCTCTTGATTTAGGGAATTGGATCTGTGCTCCAGTTCCCCGAATTAAGCCTGAATGCCTTCCACATCCCCCCCCCCTTAGGCGCTGTATAATCCTCCGGGTTTAGCGCTACCCCCTTGATAATAATAATGAACTCTTCTCCAGGCTGAGGGACTGACCCCCTGAAATACTTTTTCTCCAAGATTGATGGACTGATTACATCTACTACTGCCTCTGTTTTTGACTAAAGAAGCTTACTGTCTGGGCGAAACGTCGTTTAATTCAATAATCTCAGCCAGCTTAGCTGAAATTCGTGTTTATATAAAATATAATTTGTATTACGAAATGTTTATAGTGGAAAAAATAATCAATAAATTTATATATCACGTCAGCGTATTTTCGAGATTATTTTCCGTACTATCAACACCTTATTTTGTAATAAGGTTTATCGCAATAAGGTAATAGCCGGCATAATATTGTATAATCCTGGAAAGATACACTTGTGATCCTTTATTGACAACGTTTCGCCCACACAGTGGGCTTTATCAAGTCACAAGTTGATCTACGTGGGCGAGAAATACTTGAATATATATATATATATATATATATATATATATATATATATATATATATATATATATATATATATATATATATATATATATATATATATATATATATATATATATATTTGTGTCCGTTAAAAAAGTCACTGGGAAAAGGTCGTAGAAAATAAGTGAAAATTTTGGCTAGGAAAAAAATCACTGGAAAAAAATCTCATTTTATATAAATTATTAAATCAGAAAATAATATAAATGTGTTATTAACTGACAGTACATGACTTGTACACGTTGTCAACAGTTTGTATATGATGTTATACATGTTAAAAACATCGTTTTATTCACCTATGTGAACAGATACGCTTAAGTTGGTCATTTGTTGATAATATATGACATGTAAAGACTGACATCTTGTATAACATCCTGATATTACATGTATATCAGTGTTAGGCTACGTTAGGTTAGGTTAGGCTAGGCTAGGCTAGGCTAGGCTACGTTAGGTTAGGTTAGGTTACGTTGGGCTACGTTAGGTTACGTTAGGTTACGTTAGGTTACGTTAGGTTACGTTAGGTTACGTTAGGCTACGTTAGGTTACGTTAGGTTACGTTAGGTTACGTTAGGTTACATTAGGTTAGGTTAGGTTAGGCTAGGTTATGTTGAGACGGACCTGCACGGAATGGGCAAGAGTTTGTTAGGTTAGGTTAGGTCAGGATAGTTTAAGTTAGGTTAGTTTAGTTTAGGTTAGTTTAGGTTTGGTTAGGTTCGGTTAGGATAGTTTAGGTTTGATTAGGTTAGTTTAGGTTAGGCTTGGTTAGGTTAGGTTAGGCTAGGTTAGGTTAGGCTAGGTTAGGTTATATTAAGCTAGGATAGTTTAGGCTAGTTAAGTTAGGATAATTTAGGTTAGGTTTAGGTTAGGTTAGGATAGTTTAGGTTAGGCCAGGTTAGGTTATGTTGAGACGGACCTGCACAGGATGGGCAAAAAGGTCAATTCTTATGTAGGACATCGGTGACAAAATTTCCTGGCAAGGAGTTCAACTATGGCTTAAACTGATAGATATACAGAAGAATGAATATTCCAAGATCCTGCGGCACTGAGTGTATGTGTGCATTTGTGTATGTTTATCCATCCTGTCGGTATTTTATACCATTTACCTCCATCATATAATTATGTAATTTCCTTGATGCTCGAGAAGCACTCTTCCTTGAGTTTACCTGGAGAGAGTTTCGGGGGTCAACGCCCCCGCGGCCCGGTCTGTGACCAGGCCTCCTGGTGGATCAGCGCCTGATCAACCAGGCTGATCATCCAGTCACTTAAACTGATCTTCCCAGTCTTGCATAGATCCTCATGGCCTCCCATTCCCCATTATCCACATGACCTGATGAAAATTAGACACATCTGCAACGTCTAGGTATGTTTATTGTAGACGTTTCGCCAATCAGTGGCTTTATCAATACAAATTCCAGGACATAAAGACCTCAGTTAAGTGTAGCACTAATCCCCTCCATAGTTGCTGGAAAGACTTAGGTCCTTCCAGCCAGGCTGGAACAGCTGCACGACGCTGGAGAAGGGTTTGCCTATCAATTCCCCAAGCAGAAAAGAACGATGGTTATCAGGGAGATTAACTGCGACTGCTGTAACAGTCAAGAAATTTTAACCATAATATATATATTGATATAGGGAAGCCAGAGAAATCACGAAACCGTGTGAAGTGGCCAAGTTGATCACGCAATCTGTAGTATGCCGTAGAGTGGTCGCTGAAAGCCGACAGTTCGGTCCTATTCAGGCTGTGATAAGTAAGACACATGTGCAACAGTTAGGTAACTTTATTCTGAAAGATTTGGCCTGCACAGTAGGCTTCTCCAGTCAAATACAGAGGAGGCAACAGAAGCAGTTATAATCAGTCCATAACCCTTGATAATGGACTGATTATATCGTCTTTACAACTCTACTACTACTACTACTACTACTACTACTACTACTACTACTACTGCTGTATAGCCCTTGTGGCTTAGCGCTTCTTTTTTGATTATAATAATACTACTACTACTACTACTACTACTGACTCCTCTGTACTCGACTGAGGAAACCTACTGTGTAGGCGAAATTTTTCGGGATAAAGATACTCAACTGTTGCACGTGTGTCTTAACAATTTGTGGGTATTGTATACCATTATCATTATCAGGGATATGAAGAACGAACACTGTACCACTTATACAGACACTGGCTGCCGAATACTGAAGTACCAACGAAAATTTAAGACTACTGTAAAATGTTGCTAAAAAAAGAATCCTGTTTTTATTGTACTGGCCTGGAGTTTAAGGACTCTCTTGCCATGGGTTCAAATCCCACTCGTTTCGTAGTTTGTAATTCGTGAGTCTCGAAGATAATGTTCGTACCTCTTCACCATCTGTCACCTTCACTGCCCCACAACTAACACTTCTGTTAGACTGTTACTTCGACACTCCTCCCCACCAAACAGAGAATCCAACTGTGTACGTTGTTGGATTCCTGAAAAGGAATACATTTAGTGAATTCCCCTTTTCCTCTGAGACTGACATTTTTCCATAGTATTAAGACTGCCGTAGAGATAAACACGATATATTTTTAATAGAAGTTGTTGGTCAGTTCGTGGCGAGGTTTTCCTTGTAGTGAGAAACAGAATGCTTGTTATAAGTATAGGTGGCCTAACAATTATAAGCATAAGGGACGGGATTATGAGGGTGGGATGTTGATGTTAGTATAGGATTGTGGTCAGGATGTAATACGTGGGAAGGGCTAGGATTGTTGGATGGAGATATTGGATGTTAAGTGTTAGGTAAGATTCGTCAGAAACGGGACGAGTGTTTCCTGACGCGGGTTTGAATCACGTAGCTCGATCGCTTGCGCACTCAGCTCACACGCCGTAGTCACAGGATCGATCCCCGGTACGGCTGGAAAACAGGACGTATTTCCATAAGGCACCTGTTGTCATCGTTCACCCATCAGTATAAAATGGGCACCTGAGTGTTAGTGGACTGGTGTGGGTCGCATCCTGGGAAAAAATTGACCCAATTTTCCCGAAATGCTCAGCATAACAAGCGGCTTTCTAAGTAGTAGTGTCACTGATGTCAGCTAAGCCTGTATACCTTGTACATGTACACCTTGTACATGTATACCTTGTACATGTACACCTTGTACATGTATACCTTGTACTTGTAGAAATAAAGACGTTATTATTATTATGACCCGCCACTGGAACTTTAGATCATCTGACCGAGACCTTCCTCTGGCTTACCACTCCACTTTAAAAATTAATAATATA